CGTTGCTACGACGCGCACCACTGTACCATGCATTTCTATTAGCTCTGTGCGTGCTGCTGTGGAACGCAGGTTGAGCTGGTGAAAAATCGAGAAAACAACACAAACTCAACTTTGAAGTAATCCTGAACAACCAAATTTATATATATTACAAGCCTAAACCAAATCAACGCCAACAATGACAGTATTGAATATTACTAGTGGACTATCCTCGGGGGCGGAGCTACATCACAAGACATTCCACGTTGCTAAGACGCACACCACTGTACCATGCATTTCTATTAGCTCTGTGCGCGCTGCTGTGGAACGCAGGTTGAGTCGGTGAAAATTCGGAAAAAAAACAACACAAACTCAACTTTGAAGTAATCCCGAACAACCGAATTTATATATGTTACACACGCAGGGCTAATCTTGTTACACTGTTCAGGGAAGTCTCAACAACCATCCCGAAAACTGTTTTCTGCAAATTTTTGAATTTTGTTTTCAATGCGATGGTTGCCAGCTCTCTACAGATGTCACCAATTTCAAAATGTTTTATAAGTATTTTGTTTCTGTTACCGGTACTATTCTTGAGAGCAACCATTACTGGTGAAAAAAAAAAATCAAAACTTTCAGAAAAATGTACTTGGGGCTAATTGTATTGACTCATGAACAGTGTAACAGGATTACTCCTACGTGTGCGCAACATATATAAATTTTGTTGTTCGGGATTGTCTCATACATGTAGTTCAGTTTATGCTGTTTTCTCAATTTTACCCGTTTTCACCTCTTTCTCAATTTTACCCGTTTTCACCTCTTTCTCAACTTTAGCTTTTTTCACCTCTTTCTCAATTTTACCCGTTTTCACCGCTTTCTCAACTTTAGCCGTTTTCATCACTTTTCATGCTCCATAGCAGCTCCCGTACAGCCCATAGAAATACATGGTACAGTGGTGTGTGTCTTTAGCAACATGGAACGTTCTGTGACGTAGCTCCGACCAACAGAATACAAGAAAATCCCAGTATCTAAAGTTTGAATAATTTGACTCGTCTTAACGTCTTTTAATTTACAGATCTGTCATTCAAGAGATGATTACAAGCATAAGTGACGACATGTTATCTGCGTACGAACGCATCTTGGACAATACATCGAAAGATGACAAACCATTACCACTGACACAATCCAGGGCTTTGCAGTTGTATTTTGATGTGAAATATATGTCATCTTTAATGTCTGGTAGGAAGGACACTGAACAGGTACGTAGATGTCTAGGACGATGCATATATAATTCTGATAAGTTTTGTAGTGAAATTCAAGCATACTAATTGCCTAATTCGCATAATATGTATAATCATCACATTTCGTTGAAATTTAGTTTATAGATGCTCTGGGGTAGTCGTGAAATGATTAGTTTAATGTTGAAAAACATGCATATTGATTATCTAATTATTATTAGCCAATTTCTGATATATCAAAAAATCAGATTTAAATTGAACTTGTGGTATAAATCAAATCAAATTTATTTTCTCAAATAGCAGACAAATATTAGTTGCCAACCTTCTTGTTTGAAAGGCTAATTAATTTTTAATATGTCGCCAATACTCTCAGCACACAGGAGTTCTTTTCTAAGCTTTCTTTGTTTTTTTTGTTAATTCTGGATCAAACAGACAGAATTTTCCATCGACCACAGGGGTTGACTAAGTGAAAACAATTTAGCAAAATGTTTTTCTTGTTTGTAGTATTCAGTTATTTTTATAGTATGTGTCATTATCTGTCAGGCATGGTATAAAGACAGTACATGATGTCATATGAAAATAAAGTATTCAACAGTACTGAGTAACACACCTGACT